CTTTTTTTTAATGAAACTTACACGAATTAATTTTAAGGAAATCACTTTTTATCAGATAGGAATTGTTTCCTTACAAATGAAAGACATACGATGCAATAGCATTATCTGCAGTTGAATCTTTAAATAAGAGAAGAAAGGTTAAGGAAAAACAGATTAATTAGAGATAATTTTTATACTTCGTTCACTTATAAAAATCTTGGGTGAATCTTCATTTATCTTATTGAAACATTTTGTTAAAAATCCATCTTACAATGAATTTTATGAACTGAAAAAATTTATATCCTCAATGGGTAAAGATAAAGGGTGAATTTCTTTTTAAACGGCAAAACACTAAGAATTTTTGGTTAAAATGAAAATTGCTTATAAATATCTGATTTTATTGTTGAAAAGCAATTTTATTATTTTTAACGATAAATGTAATGAAAGTATAAATGCAAATGCAATTTATTTTCAGGATTAATATACTTATAGATCAAATATAATTCCTATTTGTTTTTAGATCTATGTAATTAGATAACAAATGAATTACAAATTGAAAGTTTACTGAGCATTTTTTGAGAAAATGCAATTTACTTTTAAATGTTTGTTTTTATTGAGGAAAAGCAATTTTATTATTTTTAATGATAAATATAAGGAAAGTATAAATGCAAGTGCAATCCATTTTTGAGATTAATATATTTATAGACCAAACATAATTCAAATTTGTTTTTAAATAAATGTAATTAAATAACAAATGAATGATAATTTCATTTTGGATCTATGTAACTAAAAACCAAAGAAGTACAATTTATTTTTGAGGAAAATGTAAACAAAGTCAAAATTTAAGTTAAATCCATTTTAAGCATCAATATAATTAACGATAAATAATAAGTACAATCAGTTTGGATATCAACATTATTAAATATCGAGTATAATTACATTGCACTTAATAAGCGTTATTAAATTTATGATTAAAGTTTTATTCTTCAGCATGATAAATGTGTGGTTTCTTAAAAATGTAAAATAAATTCATACGGATTAAAATATTTTCGATCTCAAACTTGAATAATATTTTAATAATCAAAGTCTTTAGTTATTCTTACAAAGAACTTTGCTCCAGTTAAATAAAGCATATTAATAAATTTGTTAGATTAACAAATGTCAATGAAAATTATTTTTGTCCATGATTTAAATCTACTAGTTAGCTACAATGCTTTCTCAATTGTTACTTAATACAAATATATGTTTGGTTATATGAGTATTATGTCATAATAACAGTTTAATATTTTAAAAAACTAAATTAATTTAATTATTCTTGCAAATAAAATTTTCTGGTACATTAAATGTAGAAGAATATAACAAAATTTTACAAAAATAATCTAGCAAAGATTTACTTTGTATACTAATAAATTTGTTAGATTAACAAATGTCAATATAAGAAATCATTTTTCTCTATAATTCGAATCAATTTGTAAGCTTTTTCATTTATTATTGAATAATATATACTTGGTTATTAAGATATTATACAAAAATTACAGTGTTATAATTTAGTAACTAAAATTAATTCATGCATTCTTATTATAAGTAATTTTAAGTACATTAGTTGCAGAGGAATACAACAAATTGCACACAAATAATCTGCGAAGAGCTTTGCTTTCATAAATAAAACTTACTAACAAATCTGTTAAATTTGTTAATCTAAGCTATCCTCTTTGTCCATAATTTAAATATACTTGTAAGCTTCAATGTTTCCTCCTTTGTGATTAAATAATAATTTAGCTATTAAAATATTATACAATAATAACAATGCAATATTTTAATAAAAACAATCTATTAACTGTGCTTTGATGAAAAAAAGTATACTATTAAATCTGTCAGCTTAACAAACTTCAATCTGAGAAATTATTTTTGTCCATAATTTAAATCTACTCATAAACTTCTATATATTTCTCATTCGTTATTAAATAAGAATTTGATTAAATTGTTTTTCATATATATTAGTTGCAGAAAATAAAACAAATTGCGCAAAAACAATTTACTAGCTTTGCTTTGATAAATAAAGCACCCATTAGATTTGTTAGATTAACAAACGTCAATCTAAGAAATCATTTTTCTTCATAAATCAAATGCTTCAAAGTTTTCTCATTTGTTTGGAAACAAAAACTAAATTTTTCTATTTTCAGCAAATAAATAAAGAGTATAAGTAGTTTAGGAAAAGCTTTTCCTGCAAAAAAAGAAAACCATCATTTCGTTGCTATCTTCAATTAGTCGGAGAACACTAGACAGGTAATGTCACCTTTTCTTTGGAGGAAAAAAACAATCATCCAAATTTGGCGATCATTGGCGCTGAAGATCGGCTGATTTTCTTTTATTTTTGCTTCCCCCCCTCCATCCATTTTTTGATTAAGAATGATTACTTAAGGTAGATTTTGTCCTGTTAATAGAAAAATACATGAGTAGCTCATCTAAGCGCTCATTATTTATTTAAGTATCTTACAAGGCTTTATTTTATTTGCGCCTTCACTTAGAAAGCATTTTTTATGATACTTAATTTGAGATGATGTCACTGCTCTTATTCATGCATCATTGCGATTAGCTTGGAAAATCGTTTTTGAAAATTGTTTTTCAGTTTTAGTTTACTTCTTCGGTAAAAATCACACATTACACTTTGAATTGAATGCTAGTCGTTTTATAATGACCAAATTGAAAAAAAAAATTATGATAGTTACAATATTAAAAAAAACAATAAAAATAGCCGTTTTTCATTCGGCAAAAATAACGCAAACCTTTGTAATTTTATACTATAATATTATAAATGTCGCTGAACAACCGACCCAATTTTCGGGTTTACGACTACTAACGTTCAACTCCGTAGTCTTGTTATTTTGAACCCTATCCAGAAGACAAGGAAACTCCTGGATCAAGTATTGAGAGAAATTTGTCTTCGTGGAGGACTTTTTGATGGAACTAACCCGCATTTGCTTTAGATGGAGAGGAAGACCACGAGAACCTCCCACGGTTAGCCAGATGGCAAAGGGATTCTAACCCACGATCCATCTACCACTGAGGATATTTCAGGTCAGCACTGTGGTCGGTGCAAGATGCGGAATTCGTATCGATCAGCCATCGCCGGGATCGAACCCTGTTTACCTTATTGGAAGGCGAACGTTCCATCCCATGAACCATCGCGGCTCAACCTTTGTAATTTGTTGTAACTCACAGAAACGTATCGGGTGAAAGATAAAGGCTGCCTGCTAGAAACTTTTTCTTGGTGCCCCGCGACCTAATCCGTGCTATCTCGCACATGTTTTTGACCACAAATAAATTGTGGTTTCTAGCTTTCTACTTTCAAATCACCATGTGACAAGGGGAGATCCTCCGAATGAAAAGATTCCCGAAGATTCTTCTGTACGTAGCAATTTGAATGTAGAAAGTTAGTAACCGCAATTTATTGGTGGTCAAAAACACGTGTGAGATAGCCCGTGCTAGGTCGCAAGGTACCAGGAAAAAGTTTCTAGCGTGCAGTCCAAGACTCCACCGAAATACTTTGTCTAAAACAAAGCTTCAGGTATTTCAAATATTTAATCTTACTTTTATTGGCATTTTTTATGATACTTAAGGGGACACTAAACGTTCAAAATCAGAAACATCCTAATCCATTATTTGGTTTTTGAGATAATAAAAAAAATTACTCTTTATTAAGTAATAGGCAACAAACCCTTCTTAAATCCGAGTTTTTCTTACCGAGTTTTAAGATTGTGAATTCGTAAAGGTCCATATATTAATATGTACTTTTCGTTGACAAAGTTATTTTTTCTCGTAATGAAATTTTTCAATGTTCTCACAACTTCAAAAAGCTCCATGCGCTACAGTTGTTTTATTGTTATTAAAAATTTTTTTAAATACTCTTCGATGTTCTTGTGTATTTAATTCTAAATGCATTTAATTAGCTTCATATCTTAATTTAATTTTTTAATAATTGAACAAACATAATTAAAATTTGCTTTTTGAAGAAATTTTTGGGAACAAAAATAAACATTTAATGCCTAGTTGCGTTATATTTTTATACGATTACCATAAACACTCACATTTATGCAAATGTTTATAAACAACGCATTCGGGTAAAAATTTAATTTAAAAAATATATAAATTCGCTCGCAAGGAAGTTTTTAATTACTAACAATTAAACATACTTTTAGCTATTACTTTAAAGCTTATTATTACTTTTTCTTAAACTTTGTACACAAACTTCTACTATTGCTACCAATATTCTGTCAAAATTTGGAAATGATCAGACAAAAATTGCCCTTTTTTGTTTTAAACGCGTGTCCCCTTAATTTAAGATGTCACTGATATTGTTCATGTATTATTGAAATTAGCTTGTAAAATGATTTTCGTTAATGATTTTTCAGTTTTAGTTTATTTCTTTGGTAAAAATCACATATTACATCTGGCATTGAAATTTAGTCGTTTAATAATGACGAAATATGTAATTTCATATGCTACTTTGAATATAAAAAATTATAATAAAGGCATATATTTCATCATTTTTTTTGTTCTGTTATAATAACACAAATCTTTGCAATTTTTTGCAATTCACAAAGGCACGTATTCGGTGGGGGATAAGCTCATGGGACACTGGTGTCCCCTTTTTATACATATATTTTTCCTGATGCTCTAATTGCAAACAAAAATATGTCTTGGTATTTTTAATTATAGAAAACATAAACTGAAAAAAAAGCTTGAAGATATTTTTTTTTCATGTGTAGTTATTTACACACTTTTTTTTATACTGCGCTGTAGAATCGGTCTTACAGAATTGGAATCTAGAACCTTACAGCTCTAGAGAATCAATCGTACAGAATCGGAATCTAAAATCGTGCATCAATCTTACAGCTCTAGAATCAGTCTTACAGCGTCGGAATTTAGAATCTTACAGCAATCATACAGCTTAAGAATCTGTCAGTACTTAAAAGTCTCTTATTAAGTGTAAGCCGTACTTCATGAATTATCACACACAATAAGGTCAGAGGAATATACTCTGTGAAATTGCTTTTATTTTTCTAAAAAACATTCGTTATTCTAAATCAAAGAATAAGAAATAATTCTCTAAATAATATATGAAATTACTTAAGCAAACATAAAACAGATCAAATTTTTTGAAAGGCATGAAAATCTTGCACAGAATACGTACAAAAAAAATTGAACAAAAGCCCTTTCAACATCCGTTCATCAGTTACTGCGATACCCAACGTTTTCTTTCACATTATGGATTCTAAAAGACAAATGAAACGGAGCTTAAATTGTGACACTTCACTAAATTTATTTCAGTCATTTATTTGCTCACGCACGCAGCGAGATGGGATCATTTATCTTCAGGTAAAATGAAAGTTTCATCTATAAAACTAAATTATACAAATAATCTGAGCAGTTGGGGAAAAAACGGAATTTGAAATCGACATAGGTACATCTTGGTAATACTATGCTCTGTTAAAAATAACAATTATGAAGATTAAGGTTTTAATTATTTACTTATAAAAATCTGTCTGCATTGTAAAAAATTCCGGCTCGAATTACTGAATAGAGTCCTGGCACTTTGGGTGCATCATCCGTAAAATCCATTTTAACAGGAATTATTATAGTAAAATCACTGAATCACTCTAATTAAAGAAATATTACGTAATTTTTACAGTAAAATTAATTTAATTCGAGTGATTCAGTGCTTTTACGCTAATTTGTACGGTAAAAATTACGATAGATCAGATCTCCCTGAAGGCCGGCACCTTTTATCGTAACTTGATCTATAATTTTTTCAGTGTACCTAATTTTTTACAGTGTTTTTTTTTTGTAACGAAAGATACTCTTTCAGCAAATTTGCTATTAAATTTTTTGTTTACATACAGCAATAACTTGCTTGGCTGTGACCGATAAATTTAAAGAGTATTCAAAGTAATTTTTATTCAGCAATCAAAAAACATGCACACCTTTTGTACCGATCTCAAAACCTTTGATATGAGCCTCAAATTTTCAAGCAAAATATTTTGTTCAGATTTAATACACAATGATTGCTATTTTGAAATCCGAAATATTATCTCTAAACGTTTTACACCTTTTTGAGTTTTCTCTTTGTATGAACATTGAGTCATTTTTCGACAAATAAAACCGTGTACAAGAACGATTTTGATTTTTTCCACTTATTAAATTTTTTTGCTGCTAAAATTATGTTACTGATGAAACAGAAATTATTTTGGAGAGACAATATAAAAAAGTTGAAATTAGTANAAAAATGGAAAAATATGCTTAACACTCCATAAATTTTTTTAATTTCATGCTATCATTTAAGTTGAGGTTCATAACACTTCAGAGGGTTATACGAAACGGCTCAAAAAGTTTGATAGCTGCATGTACAATAGTTTTTTGTGTAGAGTGTTTTCCGTTAATGAGTTATTTTCATTAAAATTATCTAAAAAATACTCTTTAAACAAAAAATTTCCTGTATATTAAAATTTTCTCTATTAAATATGTTTATTTAAATTAATATACAATATAAATTGCAATAATGTTGTGAAAAATATTTATTTTTCAAAAATTTTGTCCCGAAGGTAGTCGGATACCTTAATGCACAATGATTGCTATTTTGAAATCCAAAATATTATCTCTAAACGTTTTACACCTTTTTGAGTTTTCTCTTTGTATGAACATTGAGTCATTTTTCGACAAATAAAACCGTGTACAAGAACGATTTTGATTTTTTCCACTTATTAAATTTTTTGCCGCTAAAATTATGTTACTAATGAAACAGAAATTATTTTGGAGAGACAATATAAAAAAGTTGAATTGAGTAAGTAAAGTAAATAAGTATTTTTTTCCCTTTATCGTCCTAACTTTTTACACTGTCTGAGGAGAGATTAGAAACGAGAACTGACAAATTGACCAAATGTGGGCCTTATGCTTAAATTTCAATGTTAAATCAGGTGTTCGTATCACTGTTCAGTTATATTTGTTTTTCATTTTTGTCAGCAATCTTACAACAAGTCTTATATACGTTATTTGTTTAATATACCATTCTAATATGGCTCAAACGTTTGATATCATCTAATATCTTCTGTTTTTGATTTAATCTCTGCAAATGTTTACACAATTAAATATTTGTTCTGACAATCTTAATAAAATCGTGTCATTTTTATTTTAAAATTGCGTAACTACAAAATATTTAAAATTTTAGGCGTAAATCATTTCTTAACAACCTATAAAATATTACGCGCACAAGCATAAAAAGGTAAAACAATAAATAAAAGTACACTGTAAAAGACTCCGGATCAAATTACGGGTGAAAAAAATACTGATTAAAATGGTGTAATGCGAAATAGAAATGCTGATATAATTTTCCAAGTTAAACCAGCAATGACAAAAGTAACTGTGTAAAACTGCACTGTAAAAAATTAAGAATCAAACTACAGCATAAAGTACTGGTACTTTGGGTACATCCTCCGTAAAATTCACTTTTACCGTAAAATATACTGTTATTTTTACAGTAATATTTATTTAATGAAAGTGATTCAATGATTTTACGATAATTTTTACTGTAAAAATTACAGTATACCATATTTTTTGTTCCATAGCATGTTTCAGTAAAAAGGGATTTTACGTTAAAAAGCACGCTACCCTGAGTGCCGGTACTTGCTACCCTAATTTGATTCAGAACTTTTTACAAATGTATATAAGCTTCTTTAAGTTCCGTTCTACTTTAATAAATAAACCGATCAGTTTCATAATTGAAGAAAAAAATACTAATTTTACATGATAAAAAAATTCATTTATGTTTAAAATTGTATCCACATGCTGACCTAAATTTTTAATTTTATTGATTTATTAATTTCATAATTAACTTTATTATGGCTAAGAATATTAATTTTCATTACTTTCTGAAAATTACATAATAAAAAATCAATCGAAGGAATTTTTTTAATTTCGATACTTTCCTCATTTATTAATGAAATTCTTAATGTATCCCCCTAATAAAAAAATTCAGAATAATATTTTGAGAAACTTATTTATTTACTTAATTTTACTTCAATTACAATCATTCAGTTATTTTATTCCGAAGAACAAGATATTCAGTGAGCTGCGATAAAAATATTTGAGTGATTAAAATGTTTCACTAATCAGTTGTTGCTAATTAAAAAAGTAAGTTTAATCAGCAAGAGATTAAAAAAAAAACTTTGACGTATTGTTAGTATTTTAAAAAAAGTGTTTCTCTTTAATTAATTTTCCTTTATGCTGATAATTATTAATTATAAAGAAGTAAATCGAAATTATAAAAGGAAAGGAATACGAATAAAATTGTTAAATTAACAATTCAAGTTCTGTATTACATTTGTTAGCAAATTGAACCATGAAATTTATTATAATCAATACTCTTAAATAATTCAATTCTGCATTAAACCATAATAATGGAACTTTGAAACAAATTATGGTGCGAATTTGCTGCCAGCTCAGTTCGATGCTAGATTGAACTGTGTTTCCGTATAAGCTGAACAATTTTCTTGATTAATAAAATTCAAGCAGGATGATATGGTTCAACTTAAAAAGATTATTAAAGTTGAATCAAATTCAAACGTTATTGTAATTTTATATATATTTTTTTTATTTCTACAGTGTAGTTAGCAACAATAATAGAGTTCAATGATTGAGGTTAGATATGAATTTACTGTTTTTGCATACGGCACTTTGGCACTTGCATAATAATGGCACTTTGAAACAAAGTATGGTGCGAATTCGCTGCCAGCTCAGTTCGATGATAGATTGAACTATGTTTCCGTATAAGCTGAGCAATTTTCTTGAATTATAAAATGTAAGCAGGATGATATGGTTGAACTTAGAAGATTGTTAAAGTTGAATCAAATTCAAACGTTATTGTAATTTTACATATTTTTTTATTTCTACAGTGTAGTTAGCAACAATAATAGAGTTCAATGATTGAGGTTAGATATGAATTTACTGTTTTTGCAGTTCTTAGATGACTTGGGGGCAATTCTGCACATCCTAACAGACGTTTCATCATACGTATTGTTATCACGCCACGAAGGCCATATTTTGAAAATATAATAAATCAAATGTCCAATGATTTAATTTTTTTTGAAAAGTTTTTAAAGATTAACAGTTCATTTCCATTATTTTATTTATTTCATTGCTAATACACGTTCCACCTTCTTCTACATTTTCTAAATTCATTATGGTAAACGAAGAAAAAAATTATGGAAAACTTACCGTACCGTAAGGTAATAAAAATTTCTGGTAAAAAAAAACTCCTCATAATTCTGGTTAATTAAACCAAACTATACGGTATTGAAACTATTCATTTATTAATTGTCACCCTTGGTATGATGTTTCACCAGAAATTCTGGCTTTCAAAGTTTTTTTTTTCTTATTACCATACATTTTGTAAAAAATAAATAAATTTAACCGAATAAATGGTTTTTATGCCATGCTTTAAAGTAACATGATAAAATTGCTAAATTTTACCATATTTAACAAATTTTATCACATTTTATAAAAACAGATTTTATTGTTAGTTTAACCACAATTATTGTCAAAGAGCTTCAGGAAAAATTACCTTGCGTTTTGATGTTTCCATAAAGACAGAAACACTGCAAATTTTACTATATTCTGGTAGTTTTGACTATAGTTTTTTCTCATTGTATGTTGTGGGATAGTGATATAATTGTCTCTCAGTTCTTTATGAATTTTAAAGACAACTTTTTATCAATATTATGCATTAATTAACATTTCAAATAAGGAACAATCATGAATAAAGTTAAACATGTAGAGCACAAATAATGGTACAAAAGCAGACATACTATAGTTTCGATTTTATAATCAAGAACCTTCCTCAGTGTTGAAAATGAAAATGACACGTAGGTCTATTTTTGTAATTTATTCAAGATATTTATCTTCATTATTATGTCAGTTTTTGTGCCATTATTTATTATTCACGTTTTTAAATTTTAAACTGTATGGGATATGGGCCTTCTGCGCGGCCCAGGTGCCCAATTTTTTATAAATAAAGAAAGAAAGGAATTTTAAATAACACAAGGTATACAGTTTCTTCATAAGGATAAATAATTATTCAGTTTCATAACAGTTACCAATTTTTATTATTGAACAAACAGTAAAATTAAGCTTTTGGCATTATATTTTGGATGCTTGTTTGACATAAAAGTAAAACGAATGATTCATTTAAAATTATTTTATTTCATTATTTACGTGTTAATT